AATAGGATTCTAAATGGATTGTAATCTAAAAGATAAAAGTTGAATAATATGGTCATCGAATATGCTTTATAAGTAATTATCTATTCACTTTTTAACCAAAAGGGGTAGAATAAATGCATATCTATGAAATGAATAATACTAATTAATAGTATTTAAAGACAAAACATATTCTTGTAAAAGGTGGAGGTGATGATTATTATTTCTTTCCTTAATAGCATATAAAATCGAAATGCCTGCTTGTAAATAGGAATGGCAAGTATGTGAATTCGATAAGGACAAACGAAAATGGTGAATTTAAAACTGAATAATCCATCGAGTTTATAGATTATCAGTTATATGGATGTTTGAGCGATGATGGATAGTATTTAATAACTTGGGATTATATTTCAAAAGAATTACAGATTAGAAAATATTATGAATTATGAAATAACATAAAATTAATTATGCAATTAGATTATTTTTAAGTATAATTGTATTTCCTTTCATATTCCTTCTAAAACTCTAGAATAAAAACCAAAAATAAGTAAATTTTGAGTTTAAATTATATAGGTTAAAAAATCAAGAAATAGACATCCTAAACAATGTTCGGAACCCAACCTTATCACAGATAAAGGGATAATTTTTGCAAATATCATTTAAAGAACTCCAAAGGATTTGCTATAAAATATGCTTGCTTTAAGTGTAATGTAGCAAAATAAGCTCATACCTCTTATCAATTCAGATGTTTCCTAATTTCTGACGCCTATCTTAATAGTCATAAATTTAAGGTGGGAAGCTCATTTCTTTCAAATGATAACCAAGGTGACATTATACTCATTATCTCCTATTTTTGAGAGTTAATATCCGTTGATATACAGCACTACAGAAAACAATATATCATATTCTGGTCTAGTATTAATATTTTTTATTGTATTTTTCATAATTACCCCGCTTTGATTACTCGACTGATCTCATATGCTAAGGATTGCCTATATAATCAAAAAAGGCTGATTATTAGGAAAAGTATGATTTGATAGATATACATCGTCATTGCCCTCGCTGAGAACTCACGACCACTTATTCTTATTAGACTCTTCAAATAGAAAATTGATTACATAAATCTTTCCTGCCTATATGTTCTTGGGTTTCTTCTGAGATATCAAAATGGAAATTTCCTATTATATTCTCCATCAGTAATATCACTTATACCTTCATTGAGACTGAGATAATATAATAATTATTTCCAAATCCAGCTTAACACTTTCGTTTTGAATAAATTTATAACACCAATTTATTACTAGATCTTGTTCTTTTGAAACTCTATAATTTTTTTCTAAAGTCAATATTATTATTTATTAATTTATATGTCACTTTTTATCAACAT